TAATCTACAATATTTCCGTTTGCTCAGGTAACAAAATAAAGTGGTGATGTGAACTTCGGCGGATGCATATTAGCAGTCTAGATTGACTCCATCAACTTGTGACTTCAGTTGGGCATCAGGTTCAGCCAGTGCAATTTTGGCCTTCTCATGCGCCGAGGATGGCATTCAGTTTTCAATGAATTAAGCTAACTGTTGGAATAGCGAGATGGACCGTCTGCATGACCATCAGAAGTTGCAGCAACATCAAGTTCTGAATCAATTCTACCATCTTTCAACATAAAATTCTTGCTAATGTTAAAGTGTATTTGGTTTCAAATCAATGTTGGATTATTTCTCATTTTCTGCTTGTCAGCTGCCAACGAACCTGGGAGACTCTCATTCATATTACTGTTTCTCTGAGTCATGCCCGAAACCAATGTCTAGTAATTATCAATGACCTTGATTTTGTGCTGAAAAAATAAGTCATTTGAGAATTTTTAAAGCCACTCAAGTCTTCCCAAAATCCCCTGCACATGTCCTGCCATCCCATCTATGATTCCATAGACTCTTACACTACATGCAGACTCTAAGCATCACCTAGACAATACACCATGAGAAGAGAGTGGGTAGCATCTTCCTCTTTGCTTTATCATACAACACATGAGAAGAGAGGAGAAAAACAATGCCACGAGAAAATAAGCACAAAAAACCATCTTTGATGGTTGCTTCAGCTATGACTTCCTGATGTTGGTGAGTCACCAAATGAAATTCAAGAATTTTCAGGATGAAGAACATATAGGTAATAGAGATGGAAATAACATTCTCCTTCTGGCATAATTAATAAACAACATACCCATAAAACCATAGGCAATTGGACCATTGAGTACACACCAAAAGGCTATGAGCAAATGCAATTGAAATTAGAACTTAGAAGTACCCAAACAGCGGAAAAACTGATGAAAGTAAATCGAAGCAGCAAAAATAAACATGATCCAAATTCATATGTAGGACAACATCTAGTTCTCAAATTGATCCCACGAAGGCAGAAGGTAAATCGGAAAAAGTCACCGAATTAATCAATCAGTTGCCGGAGCTGGTGCTGGGCCCACAGTCATCCTTGCGATCATGACCACAAGACCGATGATTATGGTGATCACCGTCGTCGTCGCTGTCGTCTTCGTCGAAGGGTTTTTGTTTGTGGAAGATGCAGCATTTCTTGGAACTCTTCTTGTTCATAAACTCGTTATCCACGGTCCCCTCTTTCCAAGTCACCTTCTTCTTCCTGGGGCGCAGTTGGAGAACAAGGGTTTCAGGTGGGTGTGTCGCAGTTGGAGTGTTTTCTACGGTCACCGTCGTTATAACGGATGAGGAGGAGGAGGAGGAGGTCGAAGGTGTTGATCTTGCCGCTGCGCTCATGGATCGAGCCATCGTGCTACGTTTAGGATTAACGGGCTTAAGCAATTTTGGGATTTGGAGGAGCGCAGTGCCTGCTTGAGGAGGACTCCTTCTAGAATGCCCCTTTTTCCCGTCTGGTTTTTGCATAATCTGTAAATGTTATGAGTAGAGTTGTTATACGAGATTGAGTAAAAGATAAGGAAATATCTTTTTAAATTTTTTTAATCGAGAGTACCTTTTTTTTTTTTAATAATTAAGAAAGATTATCATTTTTAAAAATTTTTAATCAAAAATATTATTTTTGTAATTACTTTTTTATTATATCTGAATATGAAGATAAAAAATATATATTTGATTATAAATTATACAAAAAAAATAATTATTCGTTATTCTTAAATTCTTCGTACTTAAAACTCAAATTTAAAATTTTTAATTTAATTATTTTTGTAGTTATACTTCTTTAAGATTAAGTGAATATGCCTCCCCCACCCAGCGGCCCCCTATTTAAAAAAAAAAAAGGCAAATTAGGAATTAAGTGAAATTTATTAATTATGATAGTAAATATATTTGTTTAATTATTTGTTAGTAAAATTCTAAAAGTTATATTTTAATTAATTTTTTTTAAAAAATAATATCCTTGATTAGTTTTTTTTTTTAAAGTCTATACCCTCAATTAAAATTTTTTTAAAAGATTGTATTTTTACGTTTATTAAATCTTGTGGTCATATTTATTTAATTTTGGCCGAAGGTGCAATTCAGTCCCTCTAGATGCAA